GTAAGTGGCAGGCCAGGAAGGGCCAGCAGATGCAGCCCTGGATACCCAGACGAGAGCAAAAATGATCGCTAGCCCAGAGGATTTTGAGTCTGTCTGGGAGGATGAGATCTGTGAGAAGGAAACCAGGGGGCAGCCCCGTCAGGAGGCAGAGGACCTGCCAGCTGAGAGTGCAGAGGACGAGCCCCAGGAGCAGGGCGAGGAGGCAACAACCAGTGAGCCAGGTCTGCCCAGGCCATGTCAGCAGCCTGAAGAGAGGCAAAGGGCCAAGATTTTGGGGCCAGAGCCTCCCCAGGGAGAAAGCGAGGTGGTCTCCAAGGAGCAGGCTTCTGCAGCCTCCAGGAAGCAGGAGGCCAGAGTGCCGGCCGCAGCCACAGAGCTCGTTAAAATTAAAGTGAAGGCTAGTGATGACAGCTCGGAGACTTCTGCGACCCAGAGGATCATCTACTTGGGAGATCCAGAGGGAGAGGAGAAGGACAGTAAAACACACCTGCTCTCGGAGACTGGTGGACAGCTTGGCTTAGAGGAGAGACCAGAGGCCACTGTGAACACGACCAGGGAGGAATCCGGGCACACAGTACCTGCAGCAGAAGGTTTCCAAACCTCTTCCCCAGCAAGTCAGCAGCACAGGGCAGTGTTTGGAAAACCTGTTGAAGCACCAGAGCAGCCAGGGGCAGGCTGTGATGGGACCAGACTGGTGGGACGTCCCACCTCGGAACGGGAGGAAGGGCTGAACCTACAGCAAGAGAAAGCATCTGTTGGGCTGACAGGCTGCGAAGCACCCGAGGGAGGTGAAGCCCTACCGTGTTCCCAAGAGGTGGGACCAGAGGGGACGGATCTGCAAAGCCCAGGAGATGGCCGTGGAGCTGAAGAGCACAGAGGGAGCCCAGTACAGAGCCCGGACATCTGCACGGCAGTGGAGGGGCTCTCGGGAAGGTTTGGAGCAGACGGTGACAAGGAGGAAAGCGCTCGAGTTGTTCTTCAGATGGAAGAGATAGAAACCAAGTCGCCTCCATCAGCTGTGCCTTGGCAGGGCCACCCTCACACCGCCGTGGGGTTGGAGGGGGATAAACCTGGCACTCCCACCCCTACGCCACTTCCCCAGAAATCCAGCTCCGTCCCTGCAGAGCCAGCCCCAGGCACTGAGCCTGAGGACAGCGACCTGTCCCAGGGCACCAGCCCTGCAGGAGGGGTGGGCATACCCATGGCCGTGAACCCCTCAGCGGAGGTGGCACGCGAGGAGGCAAACCCTGCGGTAGGCAGAGGAGCACCCGAGGATGTGAGCCCTGTAGCAGAGGTGGCAACACCCAGCGGCACCGATCCCGAATCTGAAGAACAACCCCAAGACATGGGCTTTGCTACATGGAAACCCCACCAAGGTGCAAGTCCTGTTGCAGGAGGACCACCCCAAAACACAGACACTGCAGCAGAGCCGATCCAGGTCAGAGACCCGGCCACAGGGGAGGTGGCTCAGGACATGGACCCTGTCACAGCGGGGGCAACGCAGAGCAAAGTCCCTGCCGCAGAAGAGCCAATCCAGCAGGAAAAGTCCATGATAAAAGAGCTCTCCAAGGACACAGGGCTCACATCAGGGAAGCTGACCAGAGGAGAAGGCTGTGGGATAGAAGAATTGTCCCAAGACAAAAGCCCTTGCATGGAAGAACTGCCTCCCAAGGCTGAAGGACCAGAACAACAGACAGAGGTCCTAGTAAGAGACCTGACCCAAGAGTATCCCGTGGCTGGAGGACTGCTCCACACTGCAGATCCCAAAGCGCAAGAGCCACCTTGGGACTTGGAGTTTAATGTGGGACAAGACCTGCAGGGCAGGAGCCCTACAGTAGGAGAAATCACCAGGGACAGAGACCTTGCTCCGGGGCAGCCATCGCAGGAGAAGTCTCCTCTCGAAGAAGCTGATGATGTCCCTCACTCCCACTCCCCTGTAGCAGGATTGTGTCAAGGAAGCAAGACGTACTGGCTCTCTACCTTGGTCGATGAAGGTGGGGGAGAGGTGGAAGTGAGCGGTGGGACATATCAGATAGAGTCTGGGTCACCGATGTGCGTGGCTGGGAGGACAGGAGCCTTGTCCCAGGAGCACGGAGATGTCACTGTGGCCCCGGGTAGCTGGCAGGACAGCGAGAGCTACAGGAAAACCTCAGTGGCCTCGAAGATTAAGATGTTTGAGCAAAGCGAAGCTGAGCGAAGGGCAGCCCAGGAGGGACAAGAGCGTGTGGCTGAAGCTGAGCCATCAGCAAAGGCGAAGGGGAAGATGGGTCTGGCCCAGGACGTGCTGTTGAACACAGGCCTCGTCTCACCGCCGGCAGTGCCGGTCCCTCCGGTGGGACCTGTGTCCAGCGTAGGCTCCTTGGCCTTCGGGCAAGGGGCTGGTTCAGGAGCCACCTCCCAGCCTCTTTCTCTGAAGGAAGATGTTTCTGTTGACCTGGAGCACGAAGGAGAAGACAGTGCTGACCTGGCCTCCCCCGACTCTGGCTGCGAACTCACACTGGCAGAAGCTGTGGTAACTCTCCCAGTGAACTGTCCGGACGGAAAGTTCATGCGCATGTTGTGTGGCTCTTTATGATCATGTTGAGTGGCTCCTCACACATCCATTGACTGACAGCAGTTGCTTTGCATCCCCTGTCCTTCCATGTATGTGCGTGTGGTCAGGCTTATTCGCTGAATGCAGACCCGCTGGCCCGTTGGTTCATCAGCTTTTGTTTTGTGACACCCCCCCCCCCTGACATTTTGGCTCCCTGGAGAATGCCGCTCGCTAAACCCGAGAGCGGGCACCCGAGCTTCGTGTCCCGGGAGCAAGGAAGGGAGACGGGGGGGTGGCTGAAGGAGCTGCGACTCTGTCACGGACACGCACCCACCCCTAGCAGCAGCGTGCCCACGCTTCCAGCTTCACCTTTGCATTTCTTACGTTGGTGTCCCTTCTCGCTTAGCTCGCCGGCCTCACTCACCCGCCCCGTCCTCGGCAAGCTGGTGGCTGGGTGATGAAGCAGCTTTCTTCGCTCCCGTAAGCGCTAGATCAGCTCCCGTAGCGGTCATTTCCTTACAACTAACCGTTTTCTCTAATCCAGAGCAAATCTCAGGAACCAACTGGGGAAGAAAAGGATTTATCTCACCCGTCAGTAAAACCCAGCCTGAAAGAAGAGAATTTAAAGACTGCTGTTCCAGTGGTCTTCCAGGTCTCAGTGCTGTTTTACTAACCGCTTCTTACCGTAGTGTGAAAGCTCACCTTAACCAGCTGAGGGCTGCGTGCTTCCAGCTCCTCTCCCCGTTGCAGAGCTGTTCTGTGTGTATCTATACGTACACCCACACACGAAAACGTGTATGCAGGTGTGTTCCTCTTGAGTTTGTTGGCACCCTGTTCCTCATACCTCTCAACCCCCCGGCAGTGCCAAGGGACGGTTGTGCCAGCACAACCCCGTGGCGGGGATGGCTCTGGCTGCAGACGCTTGGACCAGGGTGCAGGAGGTGGGTTTCCCCTGGCATCAGGGGGCTTAGAGCTGTTCCTGAGGGAGAACTGCCTAGAGCGAGATGCAAAGTCCAGCAATGGGTCTAGATTTCCCAAAGCCCAGCGTGGGTTTGGATTTCCCGTGGCTTCCTGGCAAAGCGTGGCGAGGGGAAATGCACCCTCGGATGGCGGAGTTGAGAGGTATGTCCGTGGCTGGAGAAGAGCTCACGGAGGGAGGTCCCCGCTTGGCTCTGATCGGGCTGCCAATTGCACTGACCAAACACTCAGCCAGGTC